CGACTGACAGCTGATCCAGCTGTGATCAGCTGATCCTCCATCATCAGTAACAGACTTCGCTTCACGTGAAGCAACTGAGGAAAGGACGTCTCATGTCTCTTAAAACATATTTCCTCGTTTCCTCTCTCCTCGCATGGTTTCCTCCATGCATCCCTGGTGGGAGGGACTAAGACACAAGGAAAGGACCCAAGTGAGGGAAACGGGGATGACATTAATGCTACATCAATACTACTCCGTTTCTACTTGGAAGCAGAGTTGTCAAATAGAAACGATCTCCGTCCACACGAGTTTCAGCATCATTCTCGAGTTGATCTGCATCCACACGGCAGCCTTCGAAGGCGGACAGCACGTGACCATTAACGTACACTGGGCATGCGCGTGGAGGTGTAAACAGGAAGTGGATTGCTTGCTTAGTTAAAAAAAAAATACGACAGAGTAATAAAGTAGTCTTTAACAACGAAAGGTTGTATTTGATACCTAAGATCTTCCTCTATAAACTCAAACAGACACAGTGCGTGGAAAGTTTTAGAAGTTTTATTTTTCAGAAGTAGTTACAGCGCTGCGGGTCTCTCTCTCTCTCACATCAGGGGATAAGCTGGGTCACCCAGCAGAAAAACAGGGACAGCATCTTCGCCCTCTATCAATTATATAGGGCATGGGGGAATTGCTCCATCTTTTAGGGCACAACTCAAGTACTGAACATCATGTAACATGTCCGAGTAGCTAGCTTCTAAGCTAATTTTAACATTACCGCCAATGGGGAAATGCTAACCGCGATTAGCATTAGCGAATGTAATATATCTTCGTACATCTTTTCATGCTTCATACAGACATACTTACAGACTAAGGTCTCTCAAGGCTACCAAACGGAAGAAGTAAAACGAAGCAGCGTGTATTCTCATTAGAATCTAAAAACAACGAGGCACTAACTGTTGTTGTAACTCGTAGCTCTGAATAGCATTTACGGCTAACTGGCTTGGCCGCATAATAGGGCTGATGACGCCGCTGGTCACGGCGCTCGCTAATTGCCCCAATAACAGCTGCTTCCTCCACAGAAATGCAGACTTTTACTGCAGCAACACTTGGAATTAGTTATCCATGTTAAAATGAATTACTGGTCGCCCTGGCTGTTTGTTTTCTTCCGGGTACAGGTCACGTGATAGTGAGTGTGACGAATCAGGGACGGTGACGTCATGGCTGCTAATAACCAATCCAGTAGCGAGCACGGGTGTGGGCTAATTTTTTCGAACACACATCCGTTTCCGACCGTCCACATGCAACCAAAACCCCAGAGTTTTCAAATACCTCCAACCTCGGGGGAGTTTTCAGACTCCTCGTTTAGGGTGCTCCAAAACTCCGGCATAGTGTGGCCGCTCAGTGTAAACATAGCAAATACGGAGTAAAAACGGAGTAATGTGGACATGGCCTAATAAGAGACTTGAGATATATCCACTGAGGGCGACCAAGAGGCCCAGACTGTCACTGACTCAGGCTACAATAGTGGATTTGTGTGCTTGTGCAGGCCAACACTTCCTCCTATAGTGCCCACTACCACTATTTTTTACCAGCATTGAACCTTTGGAGGCCTTGGTCTTGGAGTGCATAGCTGCACTAAAACAATTCTCAATAAATCATTTTACACCGGTGTCACGAGAGCTGACGTGTCTATTAGTTTAGGGAGCGCTCTCTGCTATAAGCGTGAAACCAAAAAGGCCAAATAAAGAGAGAGAATGAAACCAGTTTATTTTCAGGTTCACTGATGCTGTAGAACAGAAACTCCTGAACCAAACACAGCATGATGCACCACAACAGTTATTATCTCCAAACTACAATAATATATTATAGTGTGCGGAATGAAATGTGATTTATGAAACAATATGAACAGGAATTACACAAAAGTCACAGGCACAGTATTGCATGAAATTAAATTAATTTTATAAAGCTGAAAAAAATAGATAGCAGTATCTGAATGAAGTTGAAGCTGAGTGTTGGCAGAAGATAATGTATTCATTATAGCTAACCAGAGATATGGTGGATCATTACACTCATCTAAACTAGGCTTTCTCAGCCAACAGACGGGTCAGTTGACAGCAGAATTGAATGTTTTGCGAAGAAAACAAAAAACTCACCGGGTTATTTTCAATGTTGAATAATCTGCTTAATTTGTTATCTTACAAAACCTAAATATGTTCAATTTATTATTATGTATTATTTATAATGACAGAAAACAGGGACAAGCAGCAAACTCTCGTAGTTTGAGAAGCTGAAAATAGCAAAAAGATAGGCTGATGTTAGTTGGAGACTTGAAAGGTTGCAAATGTGCGCTTAATAACAGGGCAGCTAGGGCTGGGCAGTATATCGATATGATGTCAATATAATGGTAGACTAGATATCCTCTTAGATTTTGCCTATCGTTATATTATAATATGGCACAAGTGCTGTCCTGGTTTTAAAGGCTGTGTTAAAGAACTCACTATTATTTGCCTTTACTCACTAAGTCATTATATCCACATTACCGATGATTATTTATCAACAATCTCACCTGACAATATAGTCCCAATATTGATATTGAGTTATTTGGTGGAAAGTGTTTTGATATTGGATTTTCTCCGTGTCGTCCGGCACTAACAGCAACACTGTAGACGGACTTCCTTTACTGGTTCTTAAACGTATCTCGGTCAAAGGTGGAGGCTCAACAAATGGGGTTTACTGAGCGTAAACATCATGATTGAGGAATTGAGTTGATATCAGCTGGCTGTTGGTCTCTGAGAGTAAGTTTGATGTTGGATGTTATAACCAGGGATGCAGCGATTTGTCTTTTTCAGTTGCAATAGCTGGGCTTTTGGTCTACCTGTGTTAATAAGCTGTACGCCTCACTGTGTGGAGGAGACTGAGATCAATCTGTAATGTCTTGGGCAACATCAGGCTTGACCTAAGCATTGCAAAAACATATACATAGACATCACCTAACGATCATTTCTGCTTAATCTAACGACTAATTGATCGATTATTCTATACATTGTTTTTGAAATTCCAGAATAATATCAAAATGAATGTACCTAAAATGAATATAAAAATTGTGTCTGATTAATATTCCAATGTTATTCAATCATCTTTTCTGAATAACTAAAGAATGATAATAAACCCTCGATCAATAGTCAATTGATCAATAATACCAACCCCAATGAGTGCTGTGACACAGATGAATTGAATCGCTGTCTGTCATAGCAGCCCTTAACTTACCTTTAATATTTTTACTGAATGTTTGTGATGTGGATGAATGTCATCACAGGAGTAATATGCAGTTCAGATAATCACTGGCATGTATGTTTGGCTCATTGTGGGGCAAAGAAAAAAGTTCAAACTATTTACAAAGGATCAACATCCTGACTGCTGCTTTGTGATTTTACTGTGTTGAATATTGAATGTGCTGAGCAACAGGAAGTGTTCCAGGTTGCTCCTGCTCTGTAATGTCTTCAGTCTTTCCTGAGGACATAGCGGTGCGGCCTAAAGCCTGTCTGTGTGCTTTATAATCTGGACCTTTTCAACATCTTCATCTGTCTGATAAAGCGTGTTAACAATGTTGAAACCGCTGATGCGGACAAACTGCAGTCCAGGTTGAGGAGATAGCCCCGGCAGCCCCTTGTGCTTTGGTCACCCTGCCCCCCCATCTATCAGGCCTCCCTGCGGGGAAGCTCCCTCGGCGCTGCAGGCAGAGCGAGCGCGCCCAGATTAGAGCTTCCTCTAGGAAAACCTTGTCTGTTTAGTGACAAACTCGGTCCCTACGAGATAAGTTTTCTAATTAACCTGTGTGGCAGCAATGCACCTGAGATCCAGGGGAGAGTAAACCGGCTGTCTGCTGCCGCTGTTCACCTGCCTCATACAAGAGGTTCCCTTCCTTCTCCTCACAACTCTGCTGTGAGGGAACTTTCACAGCTCTGCTCTGCTAACAGTCTAAACTCTCAGCCAACACTAAGCAGGTGATCAATAAAGTCTCACTTGTCAGTAATACAACAGTGACCAGCCTACAGTTGTACTTTTCATTCTAAGTAGAAACTAAAGGTATAATCTGCAACTAGGCTGCACATTAGATGATAAACAGTTTTCTCATCAACAACATGAACTCTTCCTAAAACTGATTGGACAAACAGACCCTTGCTTGGCACTTATGTAACTATTATTATGAACTTATTTAGAAACAATAAAGCCGTCATTTTGTATAAAGGGAATGATGGCACTCGGCTTCCGCCAGAAAACAGACAGTGACAGATTTTAACATTATATTACATTTAGGAAGCCATCCAGTTTTGGAATAATAAGGAAAACATTTGGTATTAATTGATTAAATCTCAATCTCAGGGTTGCTACAGAGTTCTTGTGATAGTGTACAGTGACTGCATGTGCCTTTTAAGTAAATGATGAGAATAATTCTACCACCACTTAGTATCTGTGGCTGCTCCTGATGCCAAGGTCACGCGGGTGCTGTTGGACACAAGAAGGGACTTCCAGGCGTGCATAAGTTTGAAAGAACGACTCTGAAAGCACAGAAATACCAATGTAGCCACATACTGCAGGCTGTTTGGTCTACTAAATAAGTATCATTCTCCTTCTATCATACATACACATAACATGTCCACTTACACTTCACTCTAACAACTCACTCTGCACAGTCACACAGCTGTCATTCTCACAGCCTACAGGGGCTTACTATACTGGCTTTCTTGTCCCCCGACACCTTATTACATTCAACTCGCAAAACTTCAACACAAAGATTGAGTTTATTTGTATTCCTCATTATCACCTTTTCCAACTCTATTCTGAAAGATCCACCAACTTCAGTGTTTTCCTCCACAAAGTACCAGTGTGTGTGTGTGTGTGTGTAAACAGCGTGTCCTGTGTGGTTACCCAGAGGACAGGGTACGGGTAGAGCTAGGGACAGGGAAGACATGTTGCTGCTCATAGCTGTAACATGAAAACACTTGTGTATCTTTTTTTGGCAGAAACTGAACACGCCAGCTGTTCTGAAAGCCCCAAAAGAGAGGAAGCCCAGCAAGAAGGAGGGAGGATCCCCAGGGAAATCATCCAGCCTGCCAGCAATCCTCTACAGGTGAACACACTGTCCTGAGAGATGCTGAGCAGCGCATAGCGAGGATTAAAGATGAAGGTTAAATCATAAAGTCAACATAGGGAAACCAGGGTGCTGTTGTTTTAAATGTCTTATCAATAGATAAATACCTTTTATATAAGGCTGATCAGTCACACAGGTTCTCAAACACTACTTTTTCTGCTCAATAAGCAGTAACCATCATTTCACATGTTTTCCTGCAGTTGTGGCATCTGTAAGAAGAACCAGGACCAGCATCTGCTGGTGCTGTGTGACACCTGCAAGCTCTACTACCACCTGGGCTGCCTGGAGCCACCACTCACACGCATGCCCAAGAAGACCAAGAACAGCTACTGGTGAGAGACACGAGGGTTACACGGGACGGACACATCCTGAACGTTAGGGACCTGAAACACTGTCAGTGGCTGAGGAGTTCCATGTGTATTGTTTGGATCACTGTAAGCTTGAGGAACCAGGCACACACCCAGGTTGATGGAGAGCCTTTAGTGAAGGTTACACAGTTCAAGGTTCCTTGGGAGGAGCTGCTGCTCCGTCAGTCCTCACATCCGCTGGCTGCAGAGCTTCCGCTGTACATGCCGCTGTGCTTCATGACATGGTTCAACATGGCGGTGAACGACGGTGCAGAGAATATTAGAGGAACACCACAGGTGGAGGCGGGACCACTGTATGTGGGCAGTTCTTTGTGCAACACATTCAACTACAATAATATGGAATAAGATGCATTATCTTTGTGATTATGAATTATCTGAATATGTTCACACTTAGGCCACGTCAAACAAAAACTCACAGGTCTATTCTAGAGATGCACCAATTGCAATTTTCTCGGCCAATTATGATTTGTGATTTTTTTTAAACGTCTGACCGTCTTAACCAATTAAGAAGTTTGCCAACTCTGATTTTTTTGCTCTGAACCATATATTGACAAGACTCCAGACTTTCACCACAATCCCAAATAATAATGTCAACCATACTGAAGTCACGGTATATCTAAATGTTATACTTTCATCTTTAGTTGCTATTGGCATTAAAAACTCACAATTCAAATGATTAGGAAATACTGTATATGACTGTATTTTAATTAAATATTTGCTTTGATTAAAAGAATATATTTTCATGAGTAGCTTTATGTTGTGTATTATAAGCTGCTTAGAGCTAGTGTTGTAGTGTGCTTAACTCTATCCATTTTATATTGCTGTGAAAACATCTCCTTCATTTGAACACATCATGATAGCGTTATAGTTCACCCTCGCCCAATATGAAGTTTTACTGAGCAGTTTAGTCTGTGTATCATCTGCTGATGTTAGCTGTTAGCTCCGTTACAAGCAGGACTCGGTTAGGGAGACACTCCGCTGTCACTGGTATTAATCCAGCTGAGATGTCTCCTCTCAGCTGCTGCAACAGGAGATTTAGTGCATCTCTTTCCCCTCATCAGATAGCTCTGAGATATTCTGCTGTTAGTGAAGTAGTACTTCCTCTGTCGGTGAGAAAGAGACAATCTCTCTGCTGAATTATCAAAATGAGGCGATGCAGCTGGTCTTATACATACGTGTTTGTGTTTGTCTAACACAATCCGTCTGTGACTGGAGTAATTCACTTAGCATTCATTTGACTGATAATAAGAAAGCATTTTAATGATATGAGTGTGTGGATGCAGAGTCATAACTGATTTCACTACAGGCTACTGTGCTCTTCTGTACAACAAACAGAGGAGGCGTCTTGTTTTGGGAAGTGCATTCATTCCTAACGCTGACTGGATGCAATAAATATCAGTATTATCTCATGGGTTGTGTATTGGCAAAGACATCTGATGAGGTTAGTGTGTAGTCTGCACCAGGCCCTGCAGCTGAGGACGTTTCCCTCCCTTTCTCTTAGCTTTGTGGGTGAAGTACTGAGTGTGGTACTTCTCAGAAAGGGCCATGTGTGATCCATCATCAGCACCAAATCACACTCCACTCACACACTGCTTCAGGCTGTTTACGTTGACTGATCCAGTGTATGATGCGCCCCTGGAATGCATGGTTTGTATGCTTTATTATTTAGTACAGACATGGACGTAAACTGCAACTTGATGGAGTCTAAACATATTAATATGGTAATTTAAAACATGGTGGAAACGTTATTAACTTGAACTTGAGTTCCTGGTTCAGCTCGTTAGACGAGTTCCACTAGATACCATTATGACCATTATATTTTCAGGAACTTTTTTTAATATAATGTAGTCCCAAACAACAACAGCAGCATCAACACAACGAACTACACATGATGTCTCAACAGGTTTCTGCTGCAATGCTAGCAGCTGTACTTGGGCACAGTGGTGTTTGCTAGAGGCTAGAGGAAGGGTCAGAGGTCAGAGGGTCACCTAAGTCATCAGGGTCTGCACCAAATTCGATTCACGTCAATCCCCTATGGGTGAAGATACTTCAGAACATCTTTGTATATCCATCCTCTGTCTCTCAGCTCTTTCCCTCTTCTGATGAGAAGAAGCGGTTTGTTTGTGTTTACAGTAGAGATTCGTGTGTGATAATACAAATCAATGCAGTTGAGTGAGAGGAGTTCTATTCCTTCTCCTCAGGCAATGCTCCGAGTGTGACCAGGCCAGCAGCGACGAGGCCGATATCGCCATGGAGACACTACCAGACGGCACCAAGAGGTCCAGGAGGCAGATCAAAGGCCCGATCAAGTTCATCCCTCAGGAGATGTCGCCAGAGCCCAAGAAACATCAAGTGAGAGGCACACCGGGGATTTAGAATGGGATCGGTAGTAATGAAGAGGGCGGCCGATTGATCGATCTGCATCAATTACAAATAATTAACTTGAGCTCTCGTTAGCCTCACGCTGTCCTTCATGTTATCAGAAAGTTGCACAAGGTGGTAGTGATGTTCCCATGAGCAGAGGATAAACATCTGTAACTTCTGCTCCAGAATACGACGTCAGTGGAGACAGATGTGGATTTGTTCTTGTTTGAACCGAGGCAGGATGAATCCACTCCAACTGACACAGACAATGTTGTCACTTCATTTGATTACAAGAGCAGGAAGGATGAGCCTGATGGGAAATAACTGAAACAAATGTTTAGAATCATTCTGTGCTGTCACACGTTCCACAAATCCTCACAGATTTCCGTGAATAAAGCACTCTTCAGATTTATGTCGAACGTCTCCAGCGCTGTAAAACTTCTTCACGAGCAAATTCTACTGTTTCACACACACACACACACACACACACACTGATATTATCTGCCGTTAGCACAACGTAAGTCCTCGCGCACCAATTCAGCGACAGACTCTTGTACAGGCAGCTGTGAGCGAGAAACACAGTGAATTGCAAAGAATGGCTGCTGTGTGTATCGAGCTAAGCAGTGAGCGGACAGAGCAGCCACATGGGACTGCCGTATGACGCCACTATGCGTCAGTGCGTCCACCATATTGGAGTGGGCAAGGTCCGCTAGTGAACAAATGCAAAATGTATTAAGCAGCCTCTATAAATGAACTGTAGCTCGCCTCATTGAATATGATAAGCGTACTGATTACTTATTGGAAATAAATCCAGTTGGTCAGCTCTATGCCAAAACATGAAGCTGAATAAGCACAGCTCCCTCTGGGAGGCTCTGACCTATGAAGAGGAGACATCAAGTGTAAATTACTTACAATTTAAGCTTACGTGAATATTCCAAAAAGTGTAGATTTCTACATCTATTATATTGTTATAAAGATGCATGGATGCTCGTTTTTTATCTCCACCAGTAGGACCATGCCATCGGCTGCGTATGTGCTTGGTCCATGCGTCTCTGAGTGAGTGTGCACCTCGATGTCTGTCCGCAGAATAATCTCGGGTTCTTCTGCAGCAAACTGCTTAATGTTCCGGCTGCATGCTCAAGGACCCCTTTTGGTTGCAGTGACTCACCCTTGTTTGATACTGCCGTTGACCAGCTGAGTGCATCGTTCAACCCCAGCTGGCGACTCTGCGCCCAATTGCTGCCCCTATTTGTTGGGAGCAAGTGGCCAAGAATCACACACAATCACCCAACTTGATGATTTATTTTCTCTTTTTCTCCCAACATGCCTTCAAGATTTGGCCAAACCCCAGAATGAAGTCTTCATAAAACATGATGATGATGAGGCAACTGATAAATAATAGATATTATTCCAGTAACACCCAAGATTAATGTTCAAATGATAAGCACACTTGTTTCATGCTACCTTCTAGCTGTTTTTCACGACGGCTTTTTTCCTCTGGCCCTAAAAAGAGCGACGGTACGTGGACTGTGTCAGCTTGTGGTGTAACATTTGATGTCATCAGTGAGAGGAACAGGAGCCTCCCTCCATCCCTCACTGGATCCCACTTATCTATACTGACCATGCTCTCTGATCCTGCGATACAGAGCAGCTTCCCCGCTCCCTCAAGAAACACTGCAGATTGATATCTGACAGCTCGGTGGTGAGGGGCGGGGTTGTCTTTCCCTTCCCTTTGTGTTTTTCCACTGTCAATGTGTGACCCAGTGCCTCTCACTTGGGACTTGGGGGAACTTTCCTCTTGTGACCGCAGTCACTCACAGCAGAGTCGATTCCACCGAAAGCCACTCCCCAACTTCAGTCTCTGTTACAAATAGAGGAACGAAGAAAGGAAGCGCCTCAGCCGCTCCCTGCACTCTATCTGTCTTAGAGGGGGAAACAGCAGAGTGTGTTGGAGCACAGTGGCAATCTGGGTTAATGTGTTCCTCTGTTAAGGTTTGGAAACCCCGGGCCCAGACATGTGCAGAGGACCCTGCTGGAGCTCTCGGGGATTAAGCAGCTTTCTGATTCTTTTCCTCTCGGGCGAGGCACTTCAGTGCAGCATCAAATGCAAAGCGTGCAATGGCAGACACTAAAAGGGCCACGCTTTGCATTTTTAATGCTTTTACCAGGGCGCCCGAGCACTGGCACTTCTCTAAAGCCACGTTTCTATACATCAGGACTGGCTAATCAACCTCCCGCTGGCCTCCGAGTGTGTGTGTGTGTGTGTGTGTGTGTGTGTGTGTGTGTGTGTGTGTG